TTATTTATTTATTGGAGAGGTTTTCGCTATAGGGCGCATGCACTCGCCAGACAGACAGAGAGAGACAGAGAGACAGAAAGCGAGAAATCACCCCCAGGGGGATGGCCACGCTGCAGTCCCTTCTCCTCCATTCTCCTCTCAGGATCTTGGGCACGCACACACATGCGCCCAGCGTGAGTTTAAGCGACCGGATCCGGGACGCGAACTGCAGTCGACTCCATGGAGTCCAGTGATATAGCCATTACGCCAAGTGCTGGTCCTAGACACACTTTCTTGCTTTGAGTCCCCCCTCACCCCCCGGGTTGGCATCCCTGTGGGAGTCGCTTTCCTGAGAGGAAAGTCTGCTGTCAGCTGCGGAGAGCAGCACTGAGGCCCGTCTGAGCCCTGAGAGCTGCAGAGTGCGTCTGCACTGCGCGTCTGCACTGCGCATCTGCACTGCGCGTCTTGCTGCGCTATTGACAGGCAGTCACCCGCTCCCTGGGCAGGGAAGGCGGGCCACTGTCGTCGGGGGAGCACCTTACCAGCTCACCCACATCTGCTGGTGCACCCTGAGGGACCTGCACACACTCCTGAGCCCTCGTGTTGCTCTTGTGTAAATTTAACAGCCTGTGCCCTAGGTCTTCCCTGCATCCGCTTTCACTCAGTTGATTCCGAACATGCTGAACACAAAGGCCGGACTTCGCCTGGCTGACGCTGACACCGCCCAAGTTCGCCGCAGTATGCTCTGATAGCCACAGGAGAGCAGACCACTCAAACTTGGGTCCAGAGGAGGCGACAGGTGATAAGTCACCAAGAAAGAGCCCAGGGCTAGCTTGCTGACACTGTGCTAACACTGCTCTTGTGACGTGGATTCACATGTAAGACTGTGGGTTCAGTTCCCTGGTGGACCTGTACATGCTAGGTACACGCCCCGCAACCTGGCTGGTGGAAAAAGTGGGGGGTCGCAGAGCGAGACCCTGTGGAAGGTGCCTCTCTCTCTCCTTTGCCCCACCTCTTTGCCTCCATTCTTATGAAAACAATAAACTAAAGACAAAAAAAGGGAACTTTTGGTTACGGAAGGAATTGAATAGGGTGGACTGATGGTGTGCACTGGGCCCAGCTCGAGTGCAGCCATGCTGTTCAGGAGGTGCCAGCCCGGACAGTCCGGGCAGAGCAGAGCAGGAATCAGAGGAAGGAGGCGGCACAAAAACCCCGAGGTCGGCACCCCAAGACCTCAAAGGAGACGCATGTGGCCAGGAGTGGGAGAGTGGTAGGAACGGTGCGGGTGAGTAGGGGAGCGTGAAGTCACCATGCCAGTTATGGTCCAAACTCAGACACTTTTGCAACGAAAAGTAGGTAACTCCTAGGGTTACCAGCATATGGTGTAATGGTTACGTCACTGGACTCCTACATAGGTAACCACGGTTTGAGTCCTGGACCCAGCAGCTCAAAGTTCACACTGGGCACGTGTGCATGCATGCCCAAAATCCTGAGAGGAGAATGGAGGAGAAGGGAATGCTGTGTGGCCATCCCCCCGGGGGGTGATTTCTCGCTTTTGGTCTTTCTTTCTCTCTCTGTCTCTCCAGCGAGCACACACACTCTATAGCAAAAATCGCTCTAAATAAATAAATAAATAAATAATCACCCTGGGACAGTGAGCATTGACCAGGATGCTTCCTGGGAACCAGGCGTATGACCCTCATGGGGCGCGTGGCCCATGGAGGGGCTTAGTGGACAGAGAACTGGCGCCCCTCCAGCCCAGGGGAAGGCAGCACGCACTGGCAAGTGCGTGTCTACGCGGTCCGGGCCGCTGCCCTGGTCAAGTCCTCCCTCGGATGGGCGGGTAGCCAACTCACAGCCAGCGTGCCACTGAGGCTTGTTTTCTTCGTCCCTGTCCCTGCCGCCCCCTAGGGACACTGCCGCGGAGATGCAAGATGGAGCTGCTGGCGGTGAAGCTAAGGACCCGGCCCAGCAAGCAGGAGCTGGAGGACCGGAACGTTTTCCCCCAGAGGACCGATGAAGAGAGGCAGGAGATCCGGCAGCAGATTGAGATGAAGCTCTCCAAGTAAGTGGCGGCCTTGCTGGCCTGCCTCCCGCCCCTGCCACTGTCCACACGGGGGCAGTGGTCCTCCACCGTGGGGCAGCCCTGCTCCTGGGGGAAGGCTTAGCAGCATCCCTGGTCTCTGCACGGCGCCCCCAACCTTGACCATCAAAACTGTCCCTGGGCCCGCTGAGTCCTGGCTGAGGACTGAGCAGGTCTGTAGGGGCCGTACCTCCATCCGGGGGCTCTTCTGCAAGACTGTGGCTGTGGTACTGCCAGTCTTTCATGTTGTTCAAGAAAGCCACGTACAGATGTGCATCAGCTTAGGCCGGGGTGGCACGCCACAACCCATCGAAGTCCAGACGATCGGGTGGGCCAGGTGCATTTAACGCCCCGACCCGGGAGCATGGCGGCCTCGCCTGGCCTGCCTGGATGTGCCCAGACCTCTCGCATTGCCTGCGGCCGGTAGAGGGATCGGACACAGAGCCTGCTTCGCGCTGCTGCCCCTATTTCGCGTGGTCACCGACTGCCGTGCTCTGTGGAGACCCGCTCACTTGCTCTCGTGAGTCCCCGGCCAGGAGCAGGGACTCACTGTGCCATGCAGCCTCGTGGACGGTCCCTCCGCATGTCACCAGCCCAGGAAGGACATTCGCAGTCCGGAATGCAGTTTCTGTGGAGCGCGCATTGCTTTGGCACCATTGGGAGCCTGGAAGGGTGTAGACTGAGGCACCTAGGTCGGGGCAGGCTGTGTGTCTGTGTTTACACGCGTGTTCATGGATGCACCGAGCCCACCCGTCTGCTGTCTGGTGCTGAGTGAGCACATCCAGGTGGCCTGTGGGGTTGCCCTGCTGGGCAGGGGGTCCACGGTGCTGGGGGCGGGGCACGAGACATGCTGCGTCCTAGTGGCTGGGGCCTGTTGTTGGAACACAGCAAGCACCTGAGAGAATGTTCCAGAAGCAAGGCTGCCACCGACTGGGGGCAGAGCTGAGTCATGGTGGCTTTCAGTGTTGGGTGCTCTCTGGGTTCTTCTCGAGGGCCCGAGCCACTGTGTCCAGGCAGCCGGAGCGCAGGCCCCATCCCAGTCCCCAGAGGAAGACTCGGGAAGACTGGTCTGGCAGCAGGCGGGCCTCTGCCTTCCCTGGCGTCAGGTGGCAGGCCGGGCAGAGCCCCATGCACTGTCGGAGGGGACACATGACCGGCCTCCTGTGCAGGCTCTGGCGGCCCCTCGTCTTCCTTGCTGTCCACGGAGCTGGGACAGGAGAGTAGTGCCCAGACACCCGAGTCCACCTCTTCTGTATTATTGTTTTCTTAAGAGGCTTTTGCCTCAGGGTGTGTGTGTGCTTACCAGAGAGAGCAGAGACAGTGAGGGGGAAGTGAAAAACTACCTTCACCCAGCGTGAGTGCCAAGCCACCAGGTCCGGGACTTGAACCGCAGTCAGTCATGTGGGAGTCCAGCAATGTAACCACTCCGCCATCTGCTGGCCCTGCTCTTCTTTCTTAAACCCCAGAGTCTGGCCCTTCCAGCAGAGAGAGGCCAGGCCCACCTCGTGCTGACCCCGCATCTGGACACCTGCTCTGTGCTGGGTCCATCGAAGATGCTGGGCGAACCCTGTGGGAAGGAAGGGGAGGGAGCTGCAGGGGTAGGCTCATTCCTAGGGAGCCAGAGGACGCCCCAGAGAGGGTGACAAGCACAGGTGAGGGTGGGATGGGCAGGCCAGGGGCTGGGGGAGGAGAGCAGGCCAGGGACACCTGCCCTGAGGGAAAGGGAGAGGCCAGCACCGGACGCATCCTGGAGACACCAGTGCGAGGTATGGATGCGCACACCTGCTCAGAGACACGAGGGAGACGACCGTGAGGGCAGACGTGCAGCCGGACTGCTCAGGGCCAGACCTGGGACGGGAGCCGCTGCAGCTCTCCAGAGGGCCAGGGCACATGGGCTGTGGCCCAGCTCACCTCGGGACCAACCTCGGGCATCTCATGGGCACCTTGACTTCTGGGGAATGCAGCTGTGGTCACAGCTGTGCTGAGTTGCCTGAGATGCTGGGTGGGGGTGTCACAGCTCTGCTGGGGGTGTCACCACTGCACTGAGGTGTCACAGCTGTGCTGGGGTGTCACAGCTGTGCCGAGGGTGTCACAGCTGTGCCAGGGGTGTCACAGCTGTGCCAGGGGTGTCAGCGCCGTGCCAGGGGTGTCAGCGCCATGCTGGGGTACAACAGCTATGCTGCCGTGTCGCCTCTGTGTTAGGGGTGCTGGGATGGCCCCATTCACGGCTGCGTGGGGCGTGCCACGCTTAGCACCAGTCTGGCCTCGGCTCGACCTGCAGGGGTTCTTGGCCTGTGGGGTCCAGTCAGGTCATGCACCCAGATGTGGACCCTTTGGGGCTCTAAGTACAGCAGGAAGAATGTCAGCCCGTGGGCTCAGGAGGATATGGGAGACCTCGGGGCCTGTGAGGATCTGGGGCCCGTTGTCCTGATACTGGTGGACTCCTGCAGCTACCGCCCCAGTTGGGTCCTGCCATGGACGCCGTGAGCCTGTCCTAGCCCTGCATGGTCACTGGCTGCCATGCCCAGTTCCTGGCTGAGTGGCCGGGACCCCTGGGTGGCCTCCCTGGACTCCGGTCCCCACGTGTGAAGTGAAGGACGGCGAAGCAGTGCTTCCAGCTGCGGCCGCTGTCGGGGCGGAGCGATGGGAGCTGAGGGGCCCCTCGATGACAGCGTGCGTTGCCTTAAAGCAGCCCGGTCTCACCTGATGGTGGACGCCTGAATTCCAGGCTGATGCCAGAGCCATGTCTGCTGCCTTAAAGAAGGGGGGAGAGCGACTTCTGCCTGTCTGTGAAGGTGTCCTGAGGCCCAGAGGAGGGGCCGCCAAGGGGGTGTGTTGGCAGTGGAAGCGCCTGCCTACCCTGGAGCCCCGGCGGGTGGCTTCGCCCTCCTCTGCCTCTCCCACGGGGCAAACCTCTTGTGAAGTGAAGGACGGCGAAGCAGTGCTTCCAGCTGCGGCCGCTGTCGGGGCGGAGCGATGGGAGCTGAGGGGCCCCTCGATGACAGCGTGCGTTGCCTTAAAGCAGCCCGGTCTCACCTGATGGTGGACGCCTGAATTCCAGGCTGATGCCAGAGCCATGTCTGCTGCCTTAAAGAAGGGGGGAGAGCGACTTCTGCCTGTCTGTGAAGGTGTCCTGAGGCCCAGAGGAGGGGCCGCCAAGGGGGTGTGTTGGCAGTGGAAGCGCCTGCCTACCCTGGAGCCCCGGCGGGTGACTTCGCCCTCCTCTGCCTCTCCCACGTGGCAAACTTCTCCTCTCCTTCCGTCAGCGAATGCGCCGTCCACCTGCCGTACGCTCAGCAGCTGTGCGCTAGTGCCTGCGGTGTGTCAGACACCGTGCGACACCTGAGTGTTGTGCAGGCACGGCTGGATCCAGGCACCCACACGACGTGGATAGGCGTCGGTCTCTGTTTCTCGACTCTGCTTTGCCCTGCTGGCTTTCTCTCTGGCCACCTCACCGCACAGCCAGGGTGCGGCAGCCACAAGGCTGCAGCAGAGAAAGGCCTCCTTGCTCCGGCCTGGGACGTATTCCAGAATAAGCCTCACTGGATTGGCGAGGTGCCCGTTCCTGAACTGTTCACCTTGATCGGGGGCCGGATGGGTTTACTGGCCAAACTTACGTTAGGTGGCCATTCCTAACCAGCCACAGTTGCCCGGGGATGGAACGAGCTGATTGGTCAAGCTCGAGTCACATGCTGTCCCTCAACCAGACACCATGGCCAAAGCAGAGGACTTTGCTCACTGGCCAGGCTCAGGTCGCTGGGTCCCTCCCTGAACTGTGGCCAGTGGCCTGCCCTCCAGATCAGCTGGCTGTGAGCCCGGGTCCCCCTCCGTGTACCATGACCAAGGGGTGTGGGAGTGAACGTGGATGAGCAGTACCATGGCCACCCTTGGGGAGGGGACAGCCCTGCAGACAGACGGCAGCGAGGCAGAGTGGGAGGCCAGCACCTGGCCGTGTGGGAAAGCCCAGCCGCCGACGCCATGGGGGCAGCGTGCCGGCCCCCACTGGAGTCCGGGTACTATGACTGGGCGGGCACGGGTCATCCTGCTGCAGATCCAGCCCCCAACCATGGGTGACGGCATCCAGCTGCCAGGCGTGTGTGTGAGGGCCGGCACCGTGACTGCTCCCAGCTTGGGCCGTGTCCTTCAGGTGCGGAGATCACCAGGTGGCACTGACTCTCGGAGGAGAAAGCCACTCCCTCGTGTCCTTTCGGCCTCTCTGTTGCCCCGGCGAGGAAGTCCGGCTGGAAGCTGGCCTGACCTGCACGCTCTCCCGAGGCCAAGCTGTCTGCTCGGCGGCGTCTGCAGAGCGTGCTGGCAGACGACCCCAGTGCCTTGTCGCACCTCACTTGGAGCACTCACCAGGGTGCGAGCCAGGCAGCGGAGACAGGGTCCCCGAAACCCAGCTGGCAGGAAACCTCCCCAGGGAGATCCTCTGTCTCGCTCCCGGCCTGCCCGCCTGGCCCTCCCAGTGGTCACACCATGCTGAATCCAGGGGCTTCGTCACCCCCGCCCTCTCCACCCTTTTCTGTCCACATGGCTCTTTTGTATGGCTGCGTGTGCATGAGGGCTTGAGAGAAATCGGAGCGTGAGGTCCAAGCTCCTTTGCCCCAGCCCTGTCCCTGTGAGGTGCCCAAGAGGTGACGGGTCGTGGTTGGCTCATTCGCACTGAGGACACCTCTTCTCGGCCAGCAGTCCTGAGACCTGGGGCGTCCGGGTCTTCTCTCTTTCCCCTGTTGTTTCTCTTGCCTAGCTCCCACGCTGATGGGGCACCCAGCTCCCATGCTGACGGGGACACCCAGCTCCCACGCTGACGGGTCACCCAGCTCCTACGCTGACGGGGCACCCAGCTCCCACGCTGATGGGGACACCCAGCTCCCACGCTGATGGGTCACCCAGCTCCTACGCTGACGGGGCACCCAGCTCCCACGCTGACAGGGACACCCAGCTCCCATGCTGACGGGGCACCCACACTGATAGGGCAC